TAATGCTTTTATATGCATATTATCTAATTTTTTTATTAAATCCTAAGGCTTATTAAGCAATGTTTTTCTCATGCCCTTTTTTTTCTTTTTGCTTATTGCCTATCCAACATGAAAGTAATTTTCATTTTAAGATTAAAAATATTTTTTATGCATCAGAAAATTTTCTAATTTCACATGTGAAATTTTTATAATATCCAGATAGTTATCAAATATTTCTTAAGAAAAAACTTTATATTTTATCTGTTATTTATACTAATGAATCTCTGTACAGGTTTGGTAGATTTGACTGATCTTGTAACCACCATAAAAAATTAGGAAATAAATATAAGTTATGCCTCTTTCGTTCTAGAATGACAACAAATTATAACATGAAAACATAAATGTTTAGACTAAATAGCTTAAATATAACAATACAGAAGTTACAATGGTGTGTCACGCATGCTCTCATGTTACCGTATCCAATTATAAAAGCGACCTTTAGTCTTTACAAAGTGACTTGTCTTGGCTGTGTTTTAGTAGACTAGTATTTTGTAAGATACAGTCACATTTCAATTATTATACATAATATATGTAAATACACTATTACTATTTACAAATAAGTTCTTAAACTTATTTTTCTTAAAACATAGAACAGTAAATAAAGAAGTAAAGCAAACAATTACTTCTTCTAGTTACAACCTTTGTACTCGGTTGATGCTTGACATAGGTTGCTAAACCTTTTAAAATTTCACACATGAAGGATATGAAATGAAATAATTTTTTTTTAGGTTTTATATATATAGTTGAATAACCAGAAAATCAAAAATGACTATATTGATATTACAGAATTCCACAATAATTTATCAAGCTTAGTAACTAAACTGTATTTGGGTCTAAAAAATATGAAAATTCGAGCAGACTAAAGACACAAGCCACATCTTGGAAATCTTGTCTCGAATGAACGAGATGGTGTCCAAACACATGAAAATGGCCGAAAAAACCACTAGGGGGACATTATGAGCTTTTGATTGGTTATTCACATGTCATATATTGAAGTAAGTGT